GGCACAGCTCAGGACAGAAACAGCTGGTCCTCCAGCCTGAGTCTGGGGTCACACAAGAGGCTGCAGATGGGCCCGATGGCTTCTCTGAAGGCTGTTGATACTGTTGTCATTATTGCAGTGAGACTGACAAGTTGGGATAACGCTGAGGATGCACAGGGAGCACTCCTGTGTCTGGGATACCTTGGCCTCGGGTCCACAGTGGCCAAGTGTAGCTTATGGCCCCAGGGGCCAGCCTCTCCCTACCCCCACTTCTGCACGAATCCCCTTTTGGCTGCCCAGGCTGCACCTGCGACCACTGTGGGGAGGAGCTTCTCAAACTGTGTCATCTACAGTTTCCTGCCACAGCTTCCTGCCCTAGAGACCAGATTCCCCAACCCCACCCCTCCCCATGGTCGCTGGACAGGCCCCCACCATGCTGCCTTGTCCTGTGTCTACAGGGAGCAGCTCTATGAACCTGTGAGGCAGGGATGGCAGGAATTGGGAAGTGGAGAGTAGTGGGGAGGGCCTTCCAAGGGGAGGGCACTCCAGGGATAAAAGTTCGTAAGTGGATTTGCAGTAAGGCTAATAGTGCAGCCTGGCTGGGGCAGAGAGAGGGCTGAGGAGTTTAGTTAGAGTCAATGGAGTAGGCAGGAGGAAGCCACAGTAGATTCTTGAGTAAGAAAGACCCTGGGGAGGAGTTGCCTAGAAGCAACTTGCAGACCCCCGAGCTCAGTTCATGTGGGAAATAGACTGTGGGGTTCAGCCAACCACAGGCACCATGTGAGTTAGATCTAGATCTCAGGTTTTATTAATAGAAATCGTGGGTAGAGATCAAAGGAGGTGATGGCAGCACAAACCGACCTCAGGAGAGAGATCTGGACTAGACAAGTGGGCGTGGCAGCACAGTTAGTCACAGACAGGATGACCCAAGTGAGGCAACCAGTGTTGGGGAAGGGGAGAGAGCTGGCACCATCAGAGAGGGAGGAGGCCAACCAGGGAGTCTTCAAGGACAAGACAGCTGCGACACCCAAGCAGGAGGGTATCACTGGTGCCCATCTCTCAGGGGACCCAGCATCCAGGTGGGCGTTAAGAGCTTTCCTGCCACCCCCCAGGCAGTGTTATCTGTGTTCCCACAGAGTCTGGGGAGCAGCCTGTGTTGGGGGGCAGGCTCTGAGGCTGGATGGAAGGCAGGGGACAAGGAAGGGGAGCAGGAGTGTAGACAGCCCTCCCTTTCTGATTTCAGTTATTATTTTTAGTGCCTGGTGTGTCTATACCTTCCAGCTCCTTTGTCCCCCTTTAATTAGAACAAAAACAAAAACAACCAAACTAAGGTATAATTTACATACAATAAAATTTACTCATTTTAGTGAAAAATTCTGAGTTTTGACAAATGCATACAGCCAAGAAACTACCATGTCAATCAAGACACAGACTATCCCCCCAAATTCCTTCATGCCCCTTTGTAGTCAGCACTTATCCTGCCCCTGGGGGAGGGGCAGCCACTGATGTGTTCCCCATTGGTAGGTTTGAACGGAATCACACGTTTGTATAGCGTTTGAGTCTGGCTTCTTTCACTCAGCGTGATGCCTTTGAGGGTTATCAATGTTGTCACGTGCATTACAGAATGGTGGTCTATAATATCTCCAGGTGGGGACACAACTGCAGTCCCTGATTAATCGCCTGCTGGTAACTGTTGGGACATCCAGGAAGCCCCACAACCGTGGCCCTCCCAACCTCGGGTGTCAGAGGCATCTGATCAGAATGCAGGTTCTGGCCCCTCCTCCACCTGCCCCAACCCAGACCTCACCTGAAATGATTTCCAGACCTCACCTGAAATGATTCTCAGATGTCACCTGAAATGATTCCCAGATCTCACCTGAAATTTTTAGTACAGCAGGTCCTCAAATAAAGTTGTTTCATTTAATGTTGTTTCGTTATAATGTTGATGAGAAACAAACAAACAAACAAACAAACAAACAAACAAACAAACAAACAAGATTCCGGGTGGGGCCGCTGTCAGTGTGGACTTTACACATCCTCCCCATGTCTGCATGGGTTTTCTCCCGTGACTCTGGGTTCCTCCCACATCTCATAGATGAGCATGTGAGGGGATCGGTGTGTTTGAATTGTCACCGTCTGAGTGAGTGGGGGTGTGTGAGTGGCCCTGTGATGGAAGGGTGTCCTGTCCAGGGTGGGTCCCGCCTGGCGTCCTGAGCTGCTGGGAGAGGCTCCAGCCACCGTGACCCTGAACTGGAATCAGAGGGTTGGAAAAGAATTCTCTTATTTGTCTTTATGCATCTTCCTTCAATGTATGTTGAGTTCACATTTATTCCAATCCTTAATATTAGAAGTATTTTTGGGTCTTTATTTTGAAATTTGCTGATGTTTTTGTGACTAGAAATATGCTGTAGAAAACTAACCCTTGTTTCTATCAATTACCCTCGGGTAAAACTGGTTTGTTACACATCATTTTGCTTAAAGTCACAATTTCAAAGACTCTGTTGACAACTTGTATCTTCCTCTCAGACCCAGTGTCCATCCTTGCATGTCCCTGGACACCCAGGGGAGAGACAGCCTTTCTCAAAGCTTTCTCTGCACCTCTGCTTACATTTGCTTAACTAAGAAAGGCCCCAAAGCCCCTTCCCTGAACACAACCTATGCCCTTATTGGGCCCACCTCAGTAGAGAAATGACCAGAAACTGCTATGGGGAGATAATTTTTTTTCAATTTCATATAAAACTTACAAATATATAGAAAAATGGGAAGAATTAGTTGTATACCCAAAGTCACCCCCTAGATCCTATAATTAACATTTTGCTATATTTGCTTGATCACATACAGTAGATCTCATTATAAGTGCACTCTGTATTTGCGAATTAGCCTATCACTACAATTTGGAACCCCCCAAACTAACACTCAAGGCAGTTTCATGGTCACGAAGACACACACAGAGCAGCAAGAAATATGAGTCAACTGACGTTCATGTGCCCATCAAGCTTGAACAAGACACTATGCCTTCCTGTCTCAGCTCTCATACCATAAACAAGTGTTCTCAGTCCACTTGTTGCTAGATTTTTGTGCTGTTCATTGGTTTCACTGTTCCAATGGGTCTCAAGTGCAGTGCTGAAGTGCTGTCTCTAGTGTTCCCAAGTGCAGGCAGGCTGTTGGCTGAGAGTTCAATGTTAATGAATCAACAATATAAACTAAGGTGTCTTTAAACAGCAGTACACATATAACAAGGTTATGTATCCATCAGTTGATGAAAATGTAACCAGAGGCTCAAAGGAACCTAGCCCTGGATTTCCTTTAGGAGCAATGGTTTAGTATCTGCTAATTCTGTGTTTACAATGTTCAAACAACTGTGAATAATAAGATTTGACTTGACCTATCTATTCATCTATCAGTCAATATTAATTTTTGGATGCCTTTCAAAGTAAATTACAGTCATTAGTAAATATTTCTGCACACAGATCATTAACTAGGGTTCAATATTTTATGGTTCTTTTTTACTGAGAATACAATGAAATGAAGAAATCTTAAGTGTACACTCTGATTTTTTTTTT